AAATTTTTATGATATCTTCAAACATATATTTTATTAAAAAATAAAAACATTATCACTTTCTCAAAATCACATAATATCGACTGAGATAAAGAAGAAAATGAAATATTAAAATCATGATGTATCTCGCTGCATTGCGCGAGTACACTTCTAGTATATATATATATATATATATATATATATATAAAAGACGTTTCAAATGCAACTTATTACATTTGTACAATTAATACAAACCAATCAATTGAGATTATTTATGAAAATGATGAGAATTCATTTATTATGATTTGAATATTTATAGAATATGGTTATGGTTCATTAATTATGATCTATACTTTATATTAGAAAACAATCTAAACTTTTATAAAATCACATATTCATCAAATTAAATGGACGGTTGAGATTGAGTTGTAATAGTTGTATAAATGTAAAGGATTACATAATAACTCATATAAACCAATCTCATTCATCCATTTATTTGATCAATGGTCAAGATTAGTTTAGTTTATATTAGAAAGTTAAAAAAAAAAAAAAATTAATTGGAAAAATGGCAAAATTGTAAAACCGTCTGTATCAATAAATCGGGTATAATCGTCAGTTTACTTAATCAACCCCATTTTGAATAACAAAACAATATTTTTAACTATTACATTTAATGAATGAAATGATTTTACCGTATTTTTTACGATACATAAATCAATGTTTTTCTAGAGGAGCCATCTGTCATTTTCATTTTCTCAGAAGATGGATCTATTTCAATCTTATTATGAAATGGTTTCACTGTTTGACTATTAAACACCATATTCATAACGTTAACATCTCAACCGTTTACAATAACCATTTTATGAACCTGTTTCAGAACTTATAACAATTAAAAATACTGCATCCACCATACCATACAAATCAATAATCATTAAGTGGACCAAATAACCCAGGAAAAAAAAAACGAAACGATTTCATCAACAATTGTTGATAATGAAACAATATTATCCAGGAATATATTTTGTATCCTAGTATATTATGCAACGATTTAAACCACAGATGAAACGATTTCATCAACGTAATATATGAGGCATTTGTCATTTTCATGTTTTCAGTACGTGGATCCGTTTCAATCTAATTACGAAATGGTTTCACTGTTTGCCAATTACACAACATGTTCTCAACAATTATGAAATGGTTTCACTTTCGTGTATTTCTTATGCTTTCATTTTTTTTCTTACATTAATCATTCTTATGGTCAAACTATTTAATATTGTTTACGTTTGAAAAAATTTAGGAAACAAGATTATCGGAAAAAAATATATTATACAACAAGTTCATCCATAAAAAAACTTTGAAACAATCTGAACACGTTTCATTCAACGAACAAGATAACCCAAAAAAAAAAACTTTGAAACAATTTCATCAGCAACTATTTCAAAAGACAACTGTGTTTTCAGTAACTGAATCTGTTTCACTAATACGATAATGTTTTCGGTTCATGAATCTATGTTTCAACGGTGAATCATTTTTTAGAATATGGTACTGATTCTGTGGATCAAACAATATCAAAATTTCGATCTTCATATTGATCGAAATCGGTTTACATGATTTTTAAGAATTGGGCGGTTTTTAACGGAACCCGCCCCGCCCCGCCCCGCCCCGCCCTGCCCTTTCTCTATATGTATTTTGTATTTTTGGAAATGTGGAAATTGGAGATGGATAAGAGCCAAATGATGTGCATTTAATGTTCATCACGATCACCCATTCAACAATCAACCATCTTTCTCACACGTCGTTGTCATTATTAGGTTAATATTATATGTAACTCTTTTTATTTTAAAAATAAGTTAAATTGAGTGTTGTTTGTTAAATGCTTATTCGATACGCGTTTATTAAGATATATTATTTTATGGGATGAATATAGAAGGACTAAGAATCTTATTCAGTAAGAGTAATGACAATGATCGAGAATCTTGTAAGTGAGGATGATGATTCTTTTTTGATTATTATTTATCGGGTAAACTGTTGAATACGATTCTGTTTTGATGGATTAAGATCTTACATAGTAAGGTAAACTTATATTAACCACAGGGGTTGTGGCGTAGTGGTTGAATATCCTATCTGTCCAGGGTTAGATTTTAGACGTACACAACAGCTGTGACCAATGAGTTTATCAGAGCTGATTTCTTGCAGTCATAATTTGCTAGGATTAGTTCAGGCATAGCCGGAGACACCCTTCCAGAAAAAAAAGGTATGTAATAATGTTGAATCTTATGAGTAAGTGCTTACTAGGTAAACATTTAGGTAAACGCCACTAAGGGATCGTTACCCAATGCTTACCCGGTAAACACTTACCTTTAAGAATTAACATTTTCATTTAACTTACCGGGTAAGATTTTAGTCCATTAAAATGACATGTATGCAACATTTTTATACGATAACTGTTTAAACCAATGATCGGTTATAATTTGATCGATTGAACTTTATCAAACATGAATTATAATTAATCGGTTAATAGCATCTTTAACAACAGTTTTTTTTAAAATAGAGAAAATGAGGATTTTGAGTCAGTACTTTGCGCCAACAGATTCTCCAAGCAATTTTCAAAATGGAGAAAGTGGAAAATAGAATAGTTTTTTTCTCCAAATATGGACGATAACCTCAAAAATGATCATCAAGTGAGATCATCAATAGGAAACTTTGAAAATAAAATATTTAAAGAGAGAAATAATATTTTAATATTACAATCAATGTTGGATTCTCTAAAATGGAGAATCTGTTGGAGATGAATGTAGTTTTTTTGTTGATGAAGATTTTAACTTTTAATTCTCCATTTTTGGTTAAATTTTAAAGAATTTGTTGGAGATGCTCTAAAAGACATTTTCTGAACCACAAGGATGGTGTCTGATTGGTTTGAGCTTGACTCCAAAGATCAAAAGTATCAGGAGGTCCTAGGTTAAATCCAAGGAGGAATAAAAATCTCATTATGGTCACGGAGGTTCAAATGCGATAACTCCGGACTATCAGCAAAGCAGGTGGTGATCCTGGGATTAGTCGGCTCATATAACGGGTTGGATATCCAGGTTAATAAAAAAAAAAAACCTTTTATGAAAATCATAGCAACCTTTTTCATCAATAAAATTTAAGAGTTTATTTAATGTTCATAATAACAAATTCGGTAACACAAATAATATCAAAGACAAGGGGTAAAAAACTTCATACGTACACTTTATAATAATATAATTAATAAAAGTATTAACAACAAAAAAAATTGTTATGTATATCAGTGTTTTGTCTCCTAAATCAGATACACGTAGGTTCCACAAATTAATTTTAAATTATTTTTTTTGTACTTTTTTTGTAATGTTTTGTATTAAGTTTATTTATTTATTTTTGTGCTTTTTTAATTATAAAACTACATTTGAATTATTTCAAATTTTTTACAAAAATAAAAATAACGTAAACAAAAAACGTACTCGAACTTTTTCAGTGTAACAATTTGATTTTCTAAATCAGATTTAAGTTGTTCTTTTTCTTTTCTTTCAGATTTTCACACAAACCTTTAAAACCAAATCTTTCAGTTCGGAATTTTAGCGTTAAAGCTTTTTTCACCTATAAGTCTTTGTTTTACAACATTAAAATCAGTATTCATAGACTCAATTTCAGAATAGTATAAATTGAGTTCTTCAGATTCAGATACTATGATTTGCATGTCCTTCCTTTGACATCTTGATAATGACTTGAAATTATCGTTTTAGAAAATGATCTTGAATCGGAATGAAATCTTCAAGAATATCTCTCGACCCTTACAATACCTCTCAATATGGACAGAATATCGCTCACCGCTTTGAAGAGAAAATTGCTTGATATGAATATCGCTCACCCGGATACCGCTCACAACTTTGGGCGATATACTCAAGTATCGGGGTAAGGCTTGGGCGGTATAGACAAATATCGAACAAGGAAGACTCGAGCAATATTCTTGAATATCGTTCAACACTTGGACGGTATATTCCAACTTCAAAGTCCACACGAATATCACTCAACACGTGAGCGATATTCTCAAATATCGGATAAGTCTTGGACGATTTACACCAAAAAACTTGAATTATCACAAGGAAAGGATATCAGTATCACTCATTTCTTGGGTGGTATCCTCAGATATCGATCAACACTTAAGCTTTGGCCGATTAAACAAATATCTGGTAACCTTTGAACGATATATCCAAATATCGGTGCAACACTTTGGGCGATATATAAGAATATCGTGCAAACTTTGGCCGATATCTTCGAATATCTTCCAACACTTGGACGATTTCCACAAAAATTAGATTCAAACTATCTTCAGCGAGCTATGACTTCAAATATCTATCAAAACAGATTCATTGAGCGATGTTCTTGCGGATATCGCTCAATGAACATCTTCAATGGGCGATATATGACAACAGACAGAATACTTCAAAGAATTTCACAAAAAATCCACAAAAACTTAGAAGTTGATGATAAAATCAATACAAATTAGCTCGAAAACAAGTTTAGAACAAGTTTTGTGAATGCAATTTGCCCAAAAACAGATCAAAAGTGTCCAATTTGATCAAAACAGTAAAGAACAATTTCAAACTTAAACATAAACTGTCGAACCAAGATTCAAGAAATTTAACCAGAATTTGATTCCAAATTCAATCCTAGATCTTTCTAATTTGCTCTGGTACCAATTGTAGATCCCAGATCACAATCAGACTAAGAACATAATTCAAGAACACATAATGATTTTAGAAGTCATATGTAAATTGATAACCCACATAAAAATACATAAACCTCTATGCATATAAATACAAAAGAAATAGTTATTTAAAAAATAGGACCCTTCAGGTAGGGGTGCTCATGGGTTGGATTGATCGGGTTGAAGACATTTGAACTATCCAACCCAATGCTTGCGGTTTGGAAAAATCTTAACCAAACCCAACCCAAACTGCAAACCAACCCAACCCAACCGTACGGATTGGTCGGGTTGATACTTTGGTATATTAAAATATTCTTCTAACTTTGAATATGTTATTTCTTTACTCATATATTCTTTTTCATCATCAACCATTTGATACAATTTATCCATATTTCTTACGTATATGACATTCAGTTAATTTTCTATATTTACATATATATGTTCACAATTACTGAACATATGTATGAATGAATTATAGAGATATGAATAGATTGAAAATGTGTATATGAAAAACATACATGACAGTATAATCGTCTAATGTATATATTAATAAAAATTCAACAATCATATTAAATCCAAAAAATAAAAGGATATCGGGTTCATCAGGTTGAGTTGGGTTCAAATAATAATAACCCAATATCAACCCAATACCTACGGTTTGACAATTTTACAACTCGATTAGACATCGAATTACTTTGGGTTGGGTTATTTCACGTTGGGTTGGGTTGGGTTGATCGAGTTGGTCGGATTTTTGAGCACCCCCACCTTCAGGTGGACTAAGCCCCCAATCAAACTGGTTAACTACCATTTATACTTATTTTATCTAGAAACTAGTTAGGATTAGGACCGGGACCGGTTACATCACCAACAAGGACAAGGACCGATTAAAAACCCATACCGGTTAACTTGTTTGCCCATCTCCATTGATTACTGGGATAGCTTTTACAAAAGACCGACTTCGAAAAATTTCGGGGTCATCTGATGTAGATTAGGCAAGATGCCCCTTTACTCGAAAATCTACCACCGGCTACTACGTGTGCTCAGAAAGCATAAAACATGCAATAATGTCTCGATATGTCGAAATAGAATACTAAGCTATGAAGGCAACATTATCTCAATCAAGTGTAGAATCGGAACATTGACCCATGACGGAAGTTACATGTGAGATGGCTTAGACCAAACGTCTAATACAAGCATCACGTACGAGGCTATAACGTGATCATCATTTGCCATCCATATTAGCCAAGAGTAGGATCTTCTACAAGCTAAACATATAAAGGTCGATTGTCATCTAGTCCACCACCTATTCGACCATTTCATAATTGGATCGAGTACGAATCAGCTCAAATACTTGACAAACCTCTTCAAAAGGCACATTACAACAAAATTTTCCCCGAAACAAAATATCGAGTCGTTTTCTTATACTAAATAAAGTTGATGAAATTACATACGACGAGAAGATAGTAGCCGTCAATGGTGCCGCATCAATGTTTGTATCCCTGCAGAAGGAAAATAAGACATATGATGCACAACTTTCGAGTTGAAAGAGATGGATGATATTAAGGTAATCTATTCAACGTAAAGCGTAGTATTAAGGGTGCCTTTGGTATGCAGGCGGGATTGGACATAATTGGACGGGTAAGGGTGAGGTAAGCAAGTAAAAGAATTGTGCAAGGTTTTAGAGTTTTAATGTGACATGGATAGTTTAGTATCCCTATGGTTTAGAAAATGCAGTTTTACTCCCTATAATTTGTAATTCATTGCTATTTTCATCATTATGATTTACAATTTATTGTTGTTTCGATCCCTATGATTTACAATTCTTTACTGTTTTGATCCCTTGTACTTTAAAGGTAGTGGCAATTAGTCCAGGGACGAAAATAGCAATAAACTACAAACGATAGGGACGAAAATAGCAATAAATTACAAACCAAAGGGATGAAAATTGAAATTATCAACAAACCACAGGGACGAAAATCATAATCTACTCTTGGTAATATAACCAATTATGTCTCTCTCTGATTTTTGTTCCACATTTTTTGGTGCTAAAGAAAATGCATTTTGTCGCACTCAGTCTTGCCATGTCCCAATCTAACATTGCACCAAACATGGGGAAATTTTTTGTTGTCATGTCCTGTCCGGCATACTAAATGTCCGACAAATTGTGTTTACAAGGTGATGGGTGGTCCTACGGGAGGGTCTCCAAGTAAAAGGATAAACAAGAAACCGGTTAATTCAATGTTAATGGCCTTCAGTTTTCTTCTCACAAGGTTTAATCTTTCGATTTAATGTTTTCACACATAATTGAATCCCAGCTGATCAGGTTCTATAACACTTACAGCAGGAGAAGGATTATGCCGCTTGATTTTCCGTAGTGATCTTTCAGTATTGTATGATTCTACCTGCAAATGTTAGCAAAATATGAGTTTTGTAATGATAACTATTTCTACGCTTGATATTCAATAAAAACAATTGCTTCTGTAGGTGTAAGTATAGTTCCATGCAATACTATATCGACAGATCAGACCTTTGATATTCTATTATCCAAGTACGACAATCAACCCTCTCACCCTTTTTAATCTACCTTCCTGTCTAGACGCTATAGTTGTGTTTGGTATGCGGACTGGACGGGACGAGATGGGCAAGAGTGAGGTAGGCGGGTGAAAAGATTCTGGAAGGTCTTAGGGTTTTAATTTGACAAGGTAGTTTAGTAATTTATCAATTTTGTCTCATCTCCTGATTTTTGTTCCACCTATTTTGGAGGACAGAGAAAAAGCATGCTTGTCTCACTCAGGTCCTATCCCAGTCTAACGTCGGGCCAAACGTGGGACAAGTTTCTGTATTTGTCCTATCTCATGTCACAAAGGCACCTTATATGATCAGGAAATGACTTCGGGCCCGTTTACCAAACGCTTACCCGGGTAAGCGCTTACTAAGTCAAGTTACCTCATTGGATGAATATGGTACGGACCAAGAATCTTACCTGGTAAGAACGAGACAAAAACCAAGAGTCTTACCGGGTAAGTGAGAGCGACGACTCTTACCACGGTAAGCGCTTACCATGTAAATTGTTACATGCGATGTCGTTTTGATGGACTAAAATCTTACCCGGTAAGTAAATAGTAGTGTTAAATTTTACCGGTAAGCACTTACCGGGTAAGTATTTGGTAAACAGCCCCTTCAAGTATATATAGGTTAACTAAATTACTGTATCTGCAGTTCTGCATCCATGGAGGCAACGATCAAGTGAATTGGTGAAATTTCACGGAATAGGCATTAGCAAATTCACCAAATATCAAGTATAGAGGGGGATTCATCTATGCTCACATGCAAAATTTGCTGCCATATCAACCAAAGACTAGCATTCAGGAGTTATGCAATTGCAACTCAATTTTTACAAGCACAGGAATACAACAAAAAAGAAAAGTTCCACTTCCACAAATAATCAACTATTAAACCAAAGCAATAAAGAAGAAATACTTCACTCGAAAAGTGATGATAGAAGCCGGAAACGACACCAGACAACTACCTAAATTTGTAGGCTTAACTCTGTTGCTTGTTTGCAAAACCATAGAAGCACTCAAGCAAATGACATCATATTGTTGATCAGGAGCATCTCCAACAGATTCTCTAAAATGGAGATTTTGAGGATTTTTGCTCCAACAGATTCCCCAAAACCTTCTCCAAAATGGAGAAAGTATGAGAGAGAGGGTGAAATTCTCCAAATTTGGACCTCTCCAACATTGATTGCCTATCAAGGAGATTATTTTTTATTCTTTCTACCAATGATAATCCTTGAAATTAAATGTATAGGAGAGAGAAATAATATTTTATCAAAGATATTGAATACTTCAATGATATAATTCATATTGTAATCTCCAAAATGGAGAAGCTGTTGGAGATGAAAATAAATTTTCTTTGGAGATTTTGACTTTTGATTCTCCATTTTGGAGAATCTATTGGAGATGCTCTAAGAATAAATGAGAATAAGCAAAATACTCGGCATATAAGTGGCTCAGCAAAAGCTGATATTCCAAGTAAATATCAATGAGTTGCCTGATTCTGAATATTCCCCAAAGTTTAATGACTATGTGAACTTAGCAGATCCTAATTTACAGAATTTGGGTTTAATGATAACGCAACTCAGGGACTCTTAGGAATGGAGTTTTGAAAGTGATTATTACAAACATGCAAGAATCAGAAAACTAGCTCCAACAAAGTGATAAAAGTCAAGATTCTAAACAGCACGTTGCGTCGCGTGGCTGCGAGGTCAAGCCTTAGGAGCCACAGCGTTTTTCAAGTCATAGCTTAAGGCAGCAAGTCCCTTATATCTCATTCTCACACATATATATATACACACATGTACACATATGTTCTTTTAATATTACTCGATGAATTTGAACAAATAAAATTCATCTAAAAAGAAGAAAAATCTTATATAGATATTATAATATACATATATATAAATATATACATATAGATATATATATATATATATATAAACCTTACAAAAAGTGTTATACTTTTTTTTGGATAAAAGGGACGGAACCCGTCAGAATTTTTTTATTCAAAAAGTGCTTCATCAAGAGCTCCTAACAAGGGAAAAAGTAAAAACTAAGTCAAAACTTTAAAAATAATTAAGAAGTCGAACAAAGTCAAATGACGCATCCAAAATAAAAAATTGTGCACTATAATGCGCCTCAAGACACCATGGCAGTCATTATGGCGATAAGAGAAGCCCAGTGAAGAGAATGACTGAATGCACTCGCTTTTTATCTCCGACACACAAGGAAGGACGCGGTGGCAAGGAAGGAGCCCTAGCCTTTTGAGAGATCCATTCGAGGAACATGAGAACTAATTGACATAATGAGCCTCCCATACGCACGCTTTACACAACCACTATGGGGGTTAGCATGGCATCGGAGACACATCATGGCTTGCCATTTAACCCTGATTAAAGTTAGGGATAGTTAAGAAATTTTACATTTACCATCAAAAATCAGTTTTGTTGAAACAACTTGTTACCTGCTTCTCAAATTCTGAGTATTTGACCCTAAAAATCAGTTTCAAATCATATCTTTTAAGCACTACAAAACAGGCTTATTACACATCCAACCATACTGCTTGACATAACCACTTATACAGTGCCTCTAAATAATGACATCCTAGAACCCACGTCAAGTTTTAAGTCCCTTGGTCGATTATGGGATAATAACAACCTATTTTATAGTTATAGGAACCTTGATATTATCATGTTTGGTGGTAGGCTGGTGTCTTACAACTTAAGATGCCAAACTTCCATCTGAAACTATTATTATGTGTTACATGTAGTTTAGAAAAACATAATGGGCTTATCTACTTTCTGTTGGCTAATAATAGATGTCATCAGAAAGGACTTCAAGTGTGATGACTTGAAAGGTTGAATACTTGGATAATAATCTTATACCATCTTTTTGACACAAGAAAATAAAAATGGCATTCAAATGGTGTTCATCCCGAATATCAAATTAGCACCAACCGCTGTATTTCCCTTAACTAGCTCAAGCAAGAAATTCACAGGAATAAATGTAAGCGTTTTACCTTTCTTGACAATAGAATCTAAATAACTTGATAAGGCAAGAAAGAGATTTACATGCCTTCTAGGGGTCATAAGTCATTCTTTTAACAGGGTAGACAAGACCAATCTTGCCAAGTCAATAACTTACATGGAATAAAACAATCTAGTACATGACAGGTTAGGTGTTGCTTTAATAAGAGCCACACTCCCTTCCGGTGGATCACCCCATCAGGAATCTTACTGCTAGACCATTTTAGCGTTAAGACAAGTGTCACTCTCTTTCCAAAGTGATGGTAATGGTTCCACCTTCAAGTTTGCCTAAAGCAAACCATTATTGATGATATATACTCCTACTCCTACTCCTACATCAAAAGGCAGTCTGTTGACCAGTGTTTAGCATCTGGAACTGTTAAGCCACTCAGAATGGCAACTGTATTAACTTAGGAAGAAATTCCACCATATATCAAAATCAAAGGTAGCAGATAAGTGCACTATAATATCAATTATCAGAAACTTAGAGACTTACAGCACTCTTTATCTTGCTCGTTATATCGCCAGCCTTCACAGAGGCAATGCGCAAACACTGCATGATGACACTTTGCAAGACACCCTCACCCCCAGCTTTCTGGATAGCACAAACATCACCATTTGTATTAAGTGTAGCAGTCATGGATCCTCCCATCACAGCCTCTTCATGGTGGGTTGGGTCAATTACCTATCATTCATTTATAATTAGAAAGAAAACCGGAAGTTCAAAGCATCTTTCCTAACAGATATTCATATAAGTGTACAGCAGAAAAAGCCTATAAAGTTCATTTGCTTACCACAACATTTTCTTTACCGATAAAAGCAAATGTTACTGCCACTGGAAGATGGTGTATTATCAGTGGAAGTGGCTCCCTTGCCTGCGAGATGCATAAGAGATAAATTACATAATACGAACAAAGACCATTACTTGAGATCATACATGCAGCAAATCATAATGTGTCAATAAAAACAAGTATCCTTGAGTCTTTATGGAGTACCAATTTATAAGAACAATATAGGCTAAACAATATTTAGCTGATAAGCAAAGCTCGACATTCTTCATGGAGTTATTGGGCTCCTTGATATTCCATTCACACAAAAATAGTGATACAAATACACATTATGGCATTGCTAGCGAAAGGACTTCACAAGAGGACTTCACATGACCTCACAAATTCTAGCATGTTCACCCGATGTATAACATACTAATAGATTTAGACATCCAAAAGGCTTTTGACGCTAAGCTATATTGTTCCCCTATATATTATGATGTAACAGGTTTATGATTTTTCAGTTCATGAGAGGACTGCATTAGGGGAAGTGGTGCATAAAGTATTCAGCTTTGTTAAATGGATGGAGAAAGCAATTGATAGATATGTAAATATACTAGGTCTGCTTGTATACCATGAGCAAATGTGTTGATCTTTAACGTAAACTGAAATACAAAATTTAAATTTCTAGCTGTAGAAGCCAAACAAAGCTCACCTCTGGTGGATGTACAATCACTTCTTGACCATTTTCTCCTAATGTACATTCAGGCCTCCTGAATGTTGACAGGGCAGCTAAAGCAGCAACATTGGAAGCATCTACAAGATTTCTATTTCCATAGAGATTTAGCTATATAATAAAATTTGAAAAAATGAATAGATCACATGGATAGTAACTACTTTTCCAGCTTACCCCCCATTGTCAATAATGTGAAGATCAATCCGAATGGCCCATACCGATTTCCCTGAAATGACACAAAGTGATTCAGTGTCTACTGCCCTGCTTTCCCTGCAAAGGTGATCTCATCATGTAGGTTGGTTATATCTCCTTTTTCAAGGATATGTACGACATAAGTATTCTAGGAGTAAGCTACCAAGCACGCTATTAACGATATGGGTGCATAAATGTGATACTCCGTTTTTGCATCAAAGAAAGTTTCATGCTTTTTATGCTCGCCATTTATGGATGTAAATCACAACTTGGCAAAAGGAAACCCAAAAGTAAGTCCAAAAGAGTTTGGTAAAAAAGATGAGCACGTAGTTGAAGAACAAAAGTTTAAGCAAGTAAATAAACTATCGTACCTTAAACCACGATCTACTATACGCCCAAGCTCAATAGCGGATTCTCCAGGACGACCTGCCTCAAATGAAGGATCAGCCATGGGTGAGAACTCAGTGTAGATTGCAAGTGTCCCTTCGTTTGGCCTGTCTCGATAAGGTTGTACTAGCTGGCCCGTGACAAACCCCATAACACGAGTATTTCCAAGCTGGACCTCTGATGAACCATCTTCTCTACAATTTGAAAATCTCAACAACAAACCATATGCAACTAACAGTCTACAAAAATCATTATGATGTTTATAAGAATTTCTTACCTACCAAAGCTGATAGATAGTTTTCTATAGTCGAAAGGACGCCTACCATCCACTCTAAGGTCCGACAGTAATGCAGTTTCAATGAATTTCTTCTCATTCACCGTCATTATCAACGAATTAGCCAATCTCTGCTCCATTATCTCTCCTGCATTTAATATTTTGCGTTAGTATGGTAAAGTTCTACTTACGAACTTTCTGAAATCCTTCCCCTTAAGCATCTATAACTGTAAAAAAAGCTCAAATTCATCGTATAGCGAAACGATTAGACTAGGGTTTATCAGAGAAAATGTAGGAAAATCGAAATCAAAGAGGTATAAAAACCTGCGAGTATACACCGGAGTCTCCTGTAGATGGAGTTGTCGTCGGTGGTAGTAGTCGCAGTGGTGGCGGTGATTCCGTCTCCTCACGGTCGAAGGTTGCGGAAGAGGGTTTTGTGAGGGGTTTGGACCCAAATGAGAAACTAGTAGTAATTTGCATAATTATAAACAAGTACAACCATTTAGACATAATTACATAAATGGTCTACTATTATACTAAATTACAATTGTACCCATTAAATTAATCAAACTTACAAATAATACCCGTATTTCTTTTTTCATGAGACACTTTTAAATTAATAACGCTTTTGTACTAAGCAGGGATGGAAATCGGGGCAGGGTAGAGATGGTCAAAAATTGGTCCCGGGCCGGTCTCAATTGGTCCTCATCTTTCTCATAACCGGCCATAACCAGTCCCGGCGTAATCGATCCCGGTCTCGGTCCCGGTCCCAACCAAAAATGTTAGGACCGGTCAAGGTACTTCATAACCGATTATGGGCCGTCGGTCTCGGTCCCGGTCCCAACCGGTCCTTGCATTAAAAAAATAAGATTTTTTTTATTTTTTTAATGATATATATTTTTAATACATTATAAAATTTATAATTGAGTCACTCAAATACAGTTTAAAATATGTTTTAATATAATTAAAATTACGTTTTCTTATAAAAATACATTATAAAATTATTTAAAAATACATTTATTTATAAAATTATTTGAATTTTCGGATCGGGCCGGGCCGGTCCATAGTCGGTCCCATAAC